GCAAAGAGATAAAAGACAGAAAACAAATCAAATGGAGACAACACTCTAAAGGGCATGTTAGCTACCTGACAACTCTGTGTAACTGCAAAAATTATGCACACCATCAGATTTTAAACATGTTCTTATGGCCCGTTCCAAATCCACATAACCTTGTGCAGGTTGCTGGAAGCACCCATGTTCTCTGTTATGCATTGGATATGGTCAGCTGCACTGTGGTGAAATGCAGAATTCAGCTGGTTTTGTACCAAATAGATGCAGTTGCTTTGTGAGATTCTATGAAATGGGTGTGAGCTGTGGTAAGAGATCAAGTGATGGGTGAAAATTGTCTCACCTCAAGCACACCCCAGTGCCTGCTGGCATTTTTTTGAGTTGCTGTTCCTTTCCCCCTCCCTCCTCACACGTTACTGATCTTTTCATTGGCAATTTTTATTTCAGGTGTTGAGAGAGGCCAGGATTACACGCTCACAGTGAAATACCTACAAGTCCTGGTCGACATGCACCTCAGAGCCAATCTGGTCTTTAAGGAGAAATTAAAGTCCTATGATGTTTTCCTCCAGAAGTCTTGCCACTGCTAAGCTGTCCACTCTTTTGCTGGGGCGTGTGCATATCCTGCAACAAAACATTGAAAACAAAAGGAAAAGAGCATTTTGATAGCAACACAATTACTTTTATATGTTATATTGACTACTCTATCTAAACATGCTATCAGTTTCAAAACTTACTTTCAGTTGAAACAGGAAAATAATCTGAAGCTGTTGAAATCGCCATGGTTTCAACTCTCAAGCTATACATTATGTAAAATAAGACTATTTTAATGTAATATTTTATTATAGATAATACTGTTTTTTTTCTAAGAAGTCCTAACCAGTACTTTGACACCAAACTTCAATGGCAAATAGGTTTTTTAAGAAACAATCCCTCTCTTTCCTTAGTCGCACCAATGAGCATCAGTAGGAGTTAACTCTTAACTTTTTATCAATCACCAACATGTTCTGTCTCAGGACAAAAACATACTTTAGAAGTCAGTAAAAAATTGGTCATCTTGGATCAGAGAGAAGAGTTCTACGAAGAATGCACTAATGGTTAAGACAGAGCTATGCCGTCCTTACCAAGTTCAGCACATTTTTTTTCAGCCTGTGCTTTTGTACATTGTTTTATCGACCCATTCATACAACAGTGACCCTTTGCACTAGTCAGGGAGCATGTGTTGATATTAGAAATAATGGTTTTATTATGTTCCATCTCTTGGGTAACATGTTCCTGAGCATGAGATAACCCAGATAAATATCTGATCTGTGGACCTTCAGGCTAACTAGAGAGAGACAAATAAGACATTTCATTATCGGGAAAGATAGCCAGACTCCCTGAGGAATTATTCCAGTTTGCAGAAAAACCTGTATGGTCCTCAGAAAGCATTCTTCACTGTAGGAAAACAAGTATCTTGAACCATTTTAATGCTCAGTAGTTCTTAAGACACAGCTTTCACATGTGCCTGCAATCCCCTAGGTCTTCAGTGTTCCTTGTGGACCTGGGCTATTTTACCTCTAGGTAGTTAATACTTTAGATATGTATTTCTCCAGGTAGTTAATACTTCAGGTATGCATTTAGGGTGCTTTTTTTTTTTTGTGAGAGACAACAAGTAGTATGATGTTCATGTGAGAAAATACATAAAACCCTACAGAAACTAACATTCCAAAATGGCAAGTCAGAGTCCCCCAGGTCAGCTTACTTAGATGGCCTGAAGATGTTAAAACCAAATTAAACTGAAGCACCTTTCCGCAGTGCCTCCGCAGCTCCCGTGAATTCTACTGGTAGAGTTATGCTGCCACCTATTGTGAAGATGAACTCGGGAGACATTTCATTTTGCTAGGCAACGTGTGTGCAATAATTAGTTATCACTTGTCTTTCTCTTTTCTGTATTACAAGTACTTTCTTCTGAACTATCTGCCACTGATGGTTGATGGAGACAGGATGCAGGCACCAGTGTATTTTCAGCCAGACCAAATGCAGCTGTTCATACATTCTGAACTCTGATCTGCTCCAAAGTACAGCTTAATTGGGCTCAGGAACACAACTGCCTGCCGCTGTTAGCTCAAGGGCTGGATCAAAACTGAAACCCTGTTTCTCTGTCCCAGTTAGCAGCTGAGGCATACAACAGTCACAGCTGGAGCAGCAGCACACTCTCCCTGCAGCAAAGCTTTGAGATGTGCTTTTCCTTCCTCCCTTGTTAGAGGAGCACAAGGATGGTAGGTTAGTAGCTGAGACACCACTCAAGCCCCAGTATAAACTTATGGCTGTGCATTTAGGACTTCTGCTTCTTCCTCCTAAGCGCAGGTGCAATCCACATACCCTTTAGGTATATCATGCCTGGTTCTGTAGCCACCAGCCAATAGAGCAGGAAGCTCTGTAGCCGTAGCCACCAGCCAATAGAGCAGGAAGCACTATTGTCCAAAGCTGCTTTTTTTGTATGTGCAGAATTTAGGCAACCTTACTTCATCAGAGCAGCTGCAGGAGGCTGGGGTCAGCAGATCTCTGGAGACAGCCATGAGCAAACTAAACAAATTACAATTGTACTGACATCTGTCACCTCTTGACAGCTAAGGCAGTTTGGCACTGGTTGAGCTTCACAGTTCTGTGTACCTTTCTGCACTTCTCACTTTCCCTCTGCCTTGGCATGACACATAGCCCTCTCTTCCTTCACGTCCCCAGTAGCATCAGCTAAGTCAAAACCTAGGCTTTAGGCCATCACTGCCATCCTAAGGTTGCTTAGCTGGGAACATGAAGCCATCTGTTCACTCCCAGGCAAGCAGTGTGCATCATCGCATTCCCTTATGCTCTCATCTTTCCAATCCTGTCCATGCTTTCCTCATCGTTCCTTTTCCTTCCAGCTTTAGGAACCAAATGGTTTGTATGAACAGGCTTCCACCTGCAGCAGCACTGCAGCAGTGCAGTGCTTGGAAGTCACTCATGAACAGCTCAGGTAGCTGCTCGGGCGCACAAGCCAGTGGGATTTGCTCATTTATCTTTAGGGCGTTCAACAGTTTCCAAGTCACTTGGTGGGAAAGAGAATCCCTTGAACTGCAGCTGTAGCCAGACCCCATGGCCCGGGTGGTAGCGGTGCCGCCGAAGAGGATGGCTAGGTGTGGGCACTGTGGTCTCCAGGCAAGGCAGCATCAGTAGGATGAGGTGTTTTATACCGCTTGCTGTGCCAGAGGGTAGGCACTTTCAGACTTTTGAATTGACAGATCCAACCAGGATCTATTAAAGTCAGGGTTGCTTGCAGCATGAAGGCAAACAAGAGTATCAGCAGCTTGGATGGCATGGTAAGTAGAGTGCATTTTCAGGGTAATACAGTAATTCACAAGTTCCTTGGACACATGCATGCACCTCCCTGGTGTCCAGGTAGGGGACACAGGGCACTTACAGAAATGAATGCTGTGTAACGGTGTCTGCATGACACCAGGGTTCAATACCGCCCAGTTATTGTGGGAGTTGTCTGAAGAGGTTGAGCTCATTGGTAACTCTGAGCCCTCCCATCACCTTTGTGGGTTTCTCAGGAAGTGAGAAACTCTGGGGAGTCAGCTGGGATAAAGACCTGAGATAAAGCCCCTGGCCCTCATCTCTGTAGGTAAGCTGCTGCTAAACAGCGGGAGTTAGAAGTGCTACCTATACAGTAAAGCAAGGTGACAGAGTAGTTAGTGCCTTTCTCTTTCTCAGCACTGCCTGAGTACAGTCAGGTACTACATTCGTATCAGACACCTGAGCTGTAACTTGCATGCTTCTAAGCTTCTTCCCTACTCCTGGCAACTCCTGTTGTCCTTCCACTTAGTTCAGCAGACAGAAGAAAGATCTCACTTTCCAGTTACTACATCCTTAGCACACATATTCTTTACACTGCCCTCAAAAAAAGTGTGTTTCAACTGGGTTTTAGCCCAAATCCAGGAATCATCATAATATAAAAAAGCCTTAACTGTTCTGAGAGAGGTTAGGTCAAAGTCCTGGGACTGTCACACAAGGTCATCCTCTTTCGCCCAAGAGATCCATCTAAAAGGAGTTTAAGTGAAGAAACAGTGTCCTGGCTTCAGACACAGGACTGACCTTCAGACAAATAATCTCAGCTTTGTCTTAAAAGTGACAGATTCTAACCAAAATGGTAGCTTGGCAAGAGGTTCCACAATCCCATCCCTACACCCAGAGCAGAGCATCACACTTCCTGCATTGTTCTCAGTGACCAAGGACAGTACTTGAACACAGATATTTTTTTTTCCTTTTTTTTTTTATTGCTGTTAATTCAAGGAAAAAGGTTGCATAAAATCCAATCTCTTCTAGAAATATAAGTGACCTTTCCAGTACATTTCAAATATCAAAGTATATGGTAAACATACAAATAAAGAGAAGGTAACATACCTCCTATTTACAGTACAGTATTTTAAATCATAAAATAAGTTCCATAAAGTACAACTGGCAGGTAATTCACAATACAAGTCCATTGGTGGTTTAACACCCTCACTTCAACTCAAACGCAGTTCATTCATTTCAAGTGGTCCAAAAATACCCAGATCAAATAAAAATTTTAATCAAAATAATTTTTCATTTACTACTTAAACTTTTTTTTTTAGATTTTTTTTAAATTAAAGCTTTCATCTACCTCCCTCCCCACCCCCCCTCCAAGAAAAAAGTTTCAAAATGTACACTGGTGCTATAAATATAAATGCTACCTATGAAGAAATGTAGTAATCAAGCTTTTTTTTTTTCTTCAAGTTTTTTGTCTGTTTAGCGATTTCTTAGACGACTGAACCCAAGATTGATTTTCTTTCATCCCTCTACCGACAACAGGTCTGATTTTAAGAAAAGACATCTCTGCCATGAACTGTGAGGAATGCCAAACCCTATGGATATACAGTGGTAGTTGTTCATCGGTGTTGAATGCAGCAGTCAAAAAATACACTCATCTTCCAGATAACCTCAGTGCACTTTAGGAAATCAAATATTACCTGGAAGCAATTTAGTACATATATTGGCTTTTAAAAATAAAATAAAAAATACAGCAGCATTAAACTTACTTACTCATGATACTGACATGATTAATACCATCTGAACACTCATTTCAGTCTTTCACATTATACCGTAATTACGCATAGTGGTAAATTGTTATAAAATAGTGACTTTGCTATTTGGTAGACAGGTTCTAATACTAATACCTGACTATTCTGTAGAAAACCATAGCTTTTGTTCAGTTTGAAATAAAACATTTACATTCTAAGTACAATGCAACACTGTAATAGTTTAGGAAAAAAATACTCAATCAAGTAATGTTCATTCTGAGTTGACACGATGTAGAATAGCTTTAAAAAAGGAAAAAAATGCTGTCAACTTTCATTACAAATGCAAACACACTGAGTACAACATTCATACCAGGTTTTGTTTTCACCTTTGATGCTGAACATACAGGCTACAATGGAGGAAAAATCTGTCAATTTACGCTCGTTCATTTTTCTAAATCTGTTCCAGTCCACACAGTTTCAGCCCCTTCCTGCTCTATGTGGTTTCATGTATTTGGGACTCTCAAGAGCTGTGTATATGTATTATTAACAGATATAGTACACATACAGTATTGTGTGTTCCTTTGGACTCTCCTGACAGGGCGCTTGAACATCTCCCCTCAATTCATGAGCATTAATTCAGAGTACGGGCAGGGTCTGTATGAACTGCTAAACACTCATGCAAGTCCAGCAAATTCATGTGGACAAACAGGGGAAGAAAACAAAACAGCAGCATAAGGAGAAGAGGGAGGGAGGGAAGAAGATTGTGGTGGGGAACATGACCAAGCTTCTTCTTTCACCATATGGCTGCTCTACCAGTGATCTCAGAGGTCAGAGGACTTTTTTGTTTTTAATAAAAAATGCAGTAAACATTGCACATGTCTCAAGTCTTCAGTGCAAAAGCATGGTTCGAATGCTCTTTCTGATTGTTTGGCTGTGTGTTTGAATTACATGCATTACGCAAGCCTTTTGTAGAACCAGGAGGAGACCAGGGACTCAGCTTTCTTCTTTTGTACGGAACAGAGGTGCAAAAGCAATGAAAAACTCCAAAAGAATATAAAACCGGGAATGTCCCAAAACACAAGACCGACCCCCCTCCCCCCCCGCTCCCACACACACCTTCCCCCAATTTCCCAAGCTTCAGTTTAAGTAGGCAATGTTTACTTGTTTCAGTCTGCAGAATCCAAGGTATCATTGGAAGGGGGAGGGGGAGGTGCGTATCTCAGTCTGTAAGTGCCTAAAACGGGAAAGAGAACTACTAAGTCACTGCTCACAATTAAAATGGATTACAAAACCACTACAAGGTATCAAAATGGACATGCTCTTCAAAAGGCACTATCATCCTCCAGTCCTTTTAAAGCAGGTCCTAAGATTTTATACTACATCCTTTCACCTGCTTGTTAAAACTCTTACAAAAAAAATAAAATACATGGACTGCTGATACAGGGCTTCTCCTTTACCAGAAAAACACAAAGGAAAGGCAACCCCCATCAAGGTTCATCTTTCCTGTTCCAGTCTGACCAAACAAGGAAAGAACGGGCACAGGCCAAGAATCAAAATCGTTTATGCTCTATGCGAACACTGCCTCTTCCCCATTCTTCTGGATGGAGAGAGAAATGGCATACATAACTGAAGCCATCCCTTCCATTTTTAGTTCCAATTGGTTTCTGGTTCTTTGCTGCAACTTGTCCAAAAAGTTAAAGCATGTTCCATTTCTCTATTGCATGATGGGGCACAGGACAGCTGACTGTGCGAAGGTAAGCCTTAGAAAAGTTAAATTACCAAATGGCCAGTCTGTGGGGTGTTTTTATAAATTCCCACAAGCTTTAAGAACTCATGTTCATGCCATAGACAGTAATTTCATTTTTTGCCAATGAATTCTCTTAAAAACCCCTCTGATCAGGAACAGAAAAATTGAAACAACATGCAAGTGTCAACACGATGCCAAAAACGTACCAGTGGAAAAAAGAGCAATTTAGGACTGATACAGTTTGACGTCCCAGCTCCGAATCACACCCATTTTCAACTCCACGCTGAGAGCCCCGTTCCCTTGCATTGTTCTACAGAATTTTCAGGCAGAGATAAGATACTTGCAGTTCTAGAGCAGGTCACTAGTGCACAACCATTTACACAAAACATACACACACACGCACACCTTTCTGCAAGACCAGAAACAGCACATTCAGAAAGGTAAAGAGAAACTGCTAAACTCAAAAGCAAGTCCGTTGGGAGTTATCATGATTACCTTGTTGACTGGCCTCCATGGATGACTGCTTACAGTCCTGCGCATAGTGTCCACTTACACCACAATTGTAACATGAAACGTTCCCATTCTTCTTGGGTCCCGACCCATTTGTGTTGGCAACTACGTTAGGTGCTGGATATACAGGATAGAACCTCCCAAATCCTGCCATCTGCTGCATACCATAGTTGGCTTGGCTCCCCATCACTGGGTCATGCATAAGCCCATTTGCATATGGAGACTGAGGCAGGAAGAAAGGAAGTTGTGTTCCATTGCTTTGATGTGCTTGATTGAGGTAGCTGCCATTGCAAAGTGATGGCAGAGTGAAGAAAGATGGAACTCTGTAGACTTGTCCATGAAGTGGGTTATGATAAAAATAGCTATTTATCTGAAGGCTTCCATTGGTCCCACAGCTACACCTACGTCCACAAGAACCACAGGGACCAGATCCCAACTGCTGTGGAGGTAACATTGTCCCGTTAGTGTTATTATTTCCAACAGCGTTTATGTAGGATGTGCTGTCACTCTGTGCAGTGCTGTGTGTTAGAGCAGGGCTCGGGCTAGGGGCAGGGCCTGGCGTATGTGTAGGTATTGCAGGAGGAACAGTGGACTGGACCTGACCAACACCTAAACCAGCAGACTGAGGTGGTGAGGAAGTTGCTACAGTGTTTAGCACATTTGTATTCTGGTTGGGCAACACACTGGTAGCATGAGGACTGCCTGGCAAAGCATATGAAGCTGGTGGAGGTGGTGGTGCTGCTGTGGAGAGACCAGCGGCTGGAAGAACTACCTTTAGATTGGTAGGCTGAGGGATTGCTCCTGGGTTTCCCTCAATGTGAGGCACCATTTGATTCAGTCCTACCACCTGGGCTGCAGGTTTTGTGATGGGATCTGTAGTAGGAACCGGGGATCCTGGGAAACTACCTGGATTGTGGACTGGGATAAAGGCAGTATTTGGTGATCCAATACTTAAGTTTCCTGTTGGCTGCTGTGGTCCATTAACTGTGCAACTTTCTGATGACCCCTGTGGAGAGGGCATTTTCAATCTGTGTATTGCCAAATGCAAAGCAGGGCTACCAGGCTGGACAGAATGTGGAAGGAAAGTGGATGGGACTGGCAAAGGGGAAGCCATCAGCTCAAGGCGCTTCTCAGGTTCACCAGAGGTTACTGGGCCCATTCCACCAGGAGGTGAATTTGCAGACTCCCTCACTGGGGAGACAGCAACAGGCGTGGTAACAAGCATTCCCATCGTTTTACCATCTGCTGATATGGGTGGTGGGACAACTGCTTCAGGCTTTTGGGCAGCGCTGTGCATCACACAGTGTAAGGCAGGCATGAAGGAAATATGCTGAAACTTTGCATTCAAAGGATCTTCTGAAAGGCTTCCATTTTCATTATTCACTGAAGAGATCTGAGCAGATGATTTGTTCACATTTGATGAATTGACAGCACTGTAGCCTGTAAACCTGGTTGTATTTTGATTCCCAGAGTCCTCAGAATTGCTGTCTGTATCTGTGGAGACACAAGTATTTGTCAGTCAGAAGAATGAATCTGAAACAACGTAGTCATGCCCTGAAATTATTTATCCACATAAAGCTTCCTAAGTTTTGTGACACAAATGATAGTTACATCCTTCTGAATAGTAACAACTTTGAGGTTCATTTTCATTCACCCAAATCAAGCTAAGTCAATCTCCACCACTTGCCTATATCCAACTGCCCAACTAGATACTGTGCTTTTGACTTGTGTGTATCTGCAAACGTGAAGAGTAGGACACAGACTGATTAGGAATTTACATCTACCTGGAAAGACATTAACACAGCTTACCTAAATGTGGCAGAAGTGGCAAACTGAACTGTCAATACAAAAAGAAGGACGTCTCGGACATGCCACACAGAACTTGACATAAACCCAATCCTTTTCATGCTAAAGTTTTTCCCATTACTGTAATGCTGAAATATCTCAAGACATCTATGCCTCTGATGAGTGATGAAACCCACAAAGCAAAATGGCTAGTGTGGCTAGTTCAGAAATAAAAACACCTAATAAAACTGAGAAACTAATTAATACAAGAGATTGGTCTAGGAAAAAAGACGTTCAAGCACACTCGCCATAAATACAACCTCTGTCTTTTTCTTCTTCACTATCAAAGCTTTCCCTCCCATCATGTCGTGGACTTGAAGGAGAACTGTAACTTTCAGATGATGTCTCTCCACACGTATCATGACCGGATCCAGCATCCAAATTCAGATCTAAAAATAAAAATTGGAATTTTTATTTTTAATCTCAGTATGTGGAAGTGAGGTTATTTTGGTCTGCTCTCATCTCATGCTAGTTTTGATTTTTGTTTGTTCCTATTTAATTGCATCTGTCTCCTATATTCCTACCATTCCAGGCCTAGTCACTAATGACAAGATGCTGGTGGTCCACACACTAGAAGTGCTAAATTTCTTATAGAGGTAGCCTAACAGTAACTTTCTGCAACTACTACTCCACATAAAGCAACCTGATGGAGATTTTACCGGTATTTTTCCGTTTATGCATGAAGACACATACCTTAAGCAATTGCATACGAACACTCAGTCTAGCATGTTCTATACAGTAAGTCAAATCCCAGACTAGGCAATCAACATGCTAACTGGTACTGAAACAGATTTCAGATTTATGATTTTCCCTTTACAGCAGAACAATGAATAAATCTGCAAAGCCTTAAATTCTGTTTCTTACAAACAGCTTGGGAAAAAACATCTTACCTTTTGCTGTTCCTGTACGGATGTGCTGTGATGCTGCAACTCTAATTCCATTAGTCCTGTTATTCAACCGGCAGTCAGTTTTCTTTGCTTTTTCCCTGTGCAATTAATATTCATGTTTGGTTTTGTTGGGGGGTTTTGTTGTTTGTTTGTTTTTCCAAATGCATGGGCGCAAATAAGCAAAACATGAATGAACATGTAATGCCACTGTAAACACAGGCAATGACTCCAGGCCACAAATGCGTATTTAACAGCTATAACAACAAATGTACGTAATAAGCAAATAGGTAAAGGCTGTTAGGGCAGCGTACCAGGAAATAAACTGCAAGCTGTGTTACTGAACACTAAATAAAAAAGAAAACACACAAAAAAGTAATTGTGCAGCTGACACTAAAGTCATCTTTGCAAGCGGACGTGTGTAATGCAGCCATACACCAGACTAGTGTAAAAACATCTGGCTACGGAGTAATAAAAGTCAACTTGGAAGTAGGCACAGTATTAGATAAGGGTGGAAATGTTTTCAGTTCCTCACAGTACAGGACTGTGTAGCCCATAGGAAGTTCTGAAGCCCTCAAGGTGCAAATTATCTTCAATAAAACACTTTAGCAAGTTACAGCCACTGCATAATGTTAAGGATTGCTGCCAATTACTGTTTTCTGGACAGCTTTATACCTTTTAACTTTCAAATAAATATAAAGGGGAAAAAGCAATTCAGTATCAGTTAAGAATCTATTCCTGTTCCTTCATCTTGTCACTGAATGACAACTAATATTTTGAGAAACGAATGCATACAATTACATTCTGTTTTTCAAACTACTTCTTTTCAGAAGCGAAAATAAGGATTTTTATGTAGACTGGCTTCAAAATACGCCAGCTCTTGTTCCACAACGGCAAAACAAAGCACCTAATTGATTGTAGACTCTCCATTTATCAGAGTGAAAGCACTACACTATTTCTGCATTACTAGTTATATTGAAACCTACTTTTCCAGCTGTGGCTTTCCTTTCTTCTTGCTTACTGTAGACAGACTTCGTTTTTCCACTGTATGCTAGACAGAAAATACAAAGATGCCAGTCAAACAACAGAATTTGTATCACGAAAGCCAATAAAAAAACCTCTTAGACTGACAGATCTGTGAGTCCAAAACTAGTGTGCTCACATGTGCTATAACCATATGAACAACTACTTTAGAATAACGCATCTTGTTTATGTTTATGCCACTACCAGCAAAACACGCAGCAAATCACTACTTGCAAATATGCCAAATATATCAATCACATGGTTGGTTGCATGCTGTTTTTCCTCTTGATGATAAAACCAAACATGTTTCTTCACATACCCACCAAAAAGGCTAATCAGAAGGCTTAAGAGGCTACAGAATTTACTGACTGAAGTGGAATTATGTGATCTTGAGGGATGGGAAGCACATGTGGCAAATAATTTCTACATAGTGATAAAGCAGATACCCAGCCTTAAACTGGAGGTTGCTGCTAAACTTAACTCTAGAATAGAGCCTAGAAGCACGCAAGAAATAACATACCATTTGCATAATTCTTTAAGTATACTATTACTAGCTGCTTGTAACATCTCATATTTGGCAATGGAGTGAAATCTTTGAAAACCCAGAAACAATCTCTTTCTGAATATGCTGTATTTGGACATCCTTTAAATACAAAGCGGCTTTTCCTCTTCTTTAGCATATTAGTTTTTTCTTGCCTCAGGCTTGCAGTATGTCAAGCTTTGATGCAGTCTACCATTTCATCTTCAGAAGCAAACCTCAATTCATTAACCTGCTTTGTGAAATACGGAAACTGCTTTTGTTTGGCTTGCTATTCCCCACATAATAACCAATAATTCTGCTGTAAGAGTACTATTAAGCAATTCTAACACTCATGGTTTCAGGTGTAAGCAGTGAACAACCTTCCCCCAATTTCAGTAGGCGATTTTATTTACAATTATTCTTCTCAACTATACTCACACCAAAATCAATCATTGAAGAGACACAAATCTCACAAAAATTGTATATGCACCTAGCTATCAACTTTTTTCAACACAGACTAATGCTTAAATTACTTGGATAATGCAGGTAAGAGAAACAATGTTTAACCTGTTGTTGCTACTGTAGCATTAATACGATTTAGTTATTAATAAGTTTCTAGTTTGTTCTCTGCACTAACATAGAAATTCCCTACGTGTTCTGAAATTCTCTCTGGTAATTATGTTACAGTAATAGGATTCTGCGTCTGATTACAAATGAACATTAGTCTTTTCTGATCACTTAAATCCTACTGGAAAATTTTATTTACAAATCCGTAAACAAAATATCCAACTTTATGAGGGGTAATAATGATGATTTTTTTCTTAATAAAGTTAAGTCAGTAGCAACTTGAACTTCAACACTTGTTTATACAATTTCAGCAAGGCTCTTCATCCTTTAAAGCAAAATCTCATCCTAAGGGAGTAGTGGACAGTCTTCTCAAGTGTCTCAGAACATTGCTTTAAATAAAAAACAGCATCACACCTGGTCAAGTAGGTTTGTACAGTGCTCTGGGTGCTGCTGGATAATACAGCTTTTTCTTCTCCAGTCCATTACCCCATTTTGCTCAGAGTGCTGTATGTTAAGGCTATCCAGTGAAGAACATTTTGCACTGCTAGTGCTACTGAAAGATAAAAACAAGAAGTTATGCTGATGTGAACAAACCTGCAGGCTTTTCTTACCAACTGCACAGTTTTGCATCATGTTGGGAAACTGCAGTACTTTGCCTTCAGAAAGCCCTAGCAATTCTCAAGACATTGCTTCTAAAATTCTTGTGCTCTAAACTCATACTAACGATCTGAATGTAACTGGAGTTCCTTTTTCATTTGTCTACTAGAATTTGACACAAAAGTCAGAACAACAGAATTTGTAAAAAAACAGTACTTAGGTGAAGAGTTTCCATGGATATTTCTGCACACAGTCTTTTTGTTTGCCTTTTTCATACCAAACGTGGAGAAATTTTCCAGATAAAAATGTATTCTGAATTCATCTTCTTTGTTCTTATTGTTAATGACAAAGATGGAATTACTTCCCTATTTCACAATTCATGAGACATTTAAGAAAAGGAGCACATGGCTACTTACAGATCATACTGCAGCTGTGTTTGTTTGAATTTCAAAATAGTCATCTTGATTTGTATTTTTACCTTCAAGGATTGCTAGTTTTGAGTAGTGCTTGGAAACCGGGACTGATATCTTTGAGTAGTGCTGGGAAAGGGCAGTTGCATTTGGCATTTACTTTGGACCTTATGATGCCTTCCACTGAAGCTTCTCTTAACAGCAGCTGGTCTGAGAGCACTGGTCAACAAAGACTGCTGGAAAAACAGTCAGGGTTCTGATAGAGTCAGTAGGGCACATGAACCTATAAACCTTTTAGCTATCATACAAAACCATGCCCTACTACTATCTGCATGCAGGGGCCGGGGGGAGGAGTCAACACTTTCAAGTTCTTATCAACATACTTATGCTCATAATTCAAAGTGCCTTTTAATTTAGGGCTGTTGGCAAGCTGCTTCATGAAGGTTACTGCAATATGGAATGATTCTCAGTTCCCAGATGGCAGAAATCTAGCTCACTCCAAAGCACGTGACATGCTGAAGGTCCAATAGCTACTTACCAAATACGTCTGGAAGTAAGTGCTCAAACTACTTAAAAGATGTACAGTAAGACATGAAAAAAACCAGTTTAAGAAAATGGTGAAAACCCAAGGTCTCAGACACAAGCCCCTGACTACAGAGATATAAGCAAGTTCAGAAACGCAGCATGGTCACGTTACATCCGAGTACCTACTTGGCAACAGGACTTTTTCCATTATGTTTCTTGTGAACTGCTGTGTGTTGCATTACATCTGGAAAAAAAAATAAACAAAGCATAATTTCAATAGCAATTCCTATTTCCTTTTAAGTCAATCCAACAAATTCATCACCCATCGCTATCAGACACTCAGTAGAAAACATCTCCATTAAACAGGCTAGGCTTAATTTACAGTCCTGAAATCAACAGGTGTTGCAGAGAGGACAGATCAGTCTGAACAGACAGTATTATCAAGGCTCTTTACCTTCCATTTCACAGTAGAATGAAACAGGAAAATAGAAACTATAACAATCATTTATGTTTGCTTATCACTATATTTAATCATAAGGACTAAATGTGTGACTGAATATCACCCAGAATTAAGGGATGGAGAGAGAAGAAAGGATTCAGTCAAAGAAGTACAGAATCTTGTTGGGTTTTTTTTCTGGACTGCTAAAATTCACCTCAGAATGGTGTTGCACATTCTGAACAGCAAATGAAGACAAGCCTTACACGGAAGTATTGCATTCTGAACCTCAAAAATTCACTATGCAAGTAAAGCTTTACAAACTACTTTGACATAAAAAGAGATATTGCCTCAAACAAGAACAAGAACTTCAGAGACATGGTCTCCCCTCTTCTTTAAGGCAACCATTAAATTTTAACAGAAGCAACTTTTCTTAATTCCAACTGTTGACAGTCTTTATCTTCTTCTTAGTAGCTTTCACTTTGCCTGAATACCTCTCAGTACTATACATAAGGGCAAATTATGATGGGGGAAATTAAAAAATCCCAACCAAAACCAAAACCAACAACCCCAACACCCCCACCACAATTTTTAAACTTCTGGTAGTACGTGACTAGAATGACAAAGTGTTTTCTGAAAAGCATTTGTAGTTTCACCAGATGAACGGATCTGCCTTTTTAAGGACAAGTATATAAAACACTATTGGAGGAATTTCCACATATGCTGTGTATTTACTTGTGCGTTCTGGACTCTGAAGAATACAGCAATGATTTTTTTCGAATATGAAAAAACTGTCTGGACTCTGTATATGGATTACTGATTGCACATGAGATCAATTGCAAGCTTCTTGCTAGTTCTTAATGTGTGACAGGGTAAGAGTGGTGTCATTCTGTGAAAGCTATTGTAAGTGTTCGGTGTCTGTGCTCACCTTGCAGTCCCATTTCTCATTCTTTCCACCTACCAGATGAGCTCATGCTTGTTCACTACTACAGAAAATGCAAAACTGAGCATTCCTTTCAGAATGAAATTACTGACTACCCACTATGCTGCTGCTTCTGCATGTGAACTGTTTTTAAGGTATGTGGAATACACCAGCTTTCAAACTGTCATCAATACACTCACTACAGTCCCAAACAGATCTTATTAACAGCCCAGAGTATAAGAGCAGCACAGGTTAAGAATAAGAAAACTTGAGCAACCTATGTAAAATGAAAAGCTAGACAAACCTGGCACATTTAATGCAAAACAGTCTGCTACTCTTGAAATGTTGCACTCAACTTTGAACCCCACTAACTGAAGAACAGGTAAAGCCATGAAAACCTACAATCATGGCTCAAGTAAATTGTATAGTGTATCTTCCTGGTTGCTCCACACAGCTGTGGGCTTCTGCTTCTGAGCTGTCTATAAACACTCCCACTCCTTGAATTATATAGCAACCTCCTGAGAAAACTGCTGAAAGTGTACAAAAATTCTTCATTTACATAAGCAGATTTCATTCAAATCTCTCGGCTTTGTACCAATGAAGAAATGAGTCAACCCTATGATTTCCAGAACTGAGTGTGGTCAAATTTCTCAGAGAAGAACCACCTTTATGCACACAACTACCTTCCTCCTGACTTGAAGCTTCTGAACTGTCCTCCTTGAAGTGTTCTGGTGCCTTAACCGTCTTCAAAGAGGGTTGTAAGTTACCTGCAGAGAATAAAGTTCATGTAGTAACTTTACAGATCTTGAGCAACTACACAATTCCTCAATGCCTGCACTAAACTGGAAGCTAGGGAAATGGAAGATTGAACTTACTGGTTTGCATTTGAACATCATCTCCTTCAAAGCAGGCAATCTCCAGGAGTAAAGGCTCCATGGAGACACTTTTGTTTTTATTAAAGTGTGTAAAACAATTTTAAATCTGTGATGTAATTCCAAAAGATTGTGATTGTGATTACCGTATTAGAAATACTTCTATATCCTGCACTTTAGATATTTTTTTCTTTTTTCATTACAGCAGGAAATGGGAGGAGACCAACTCCAGTTACCAGAATTCTTCTGCGAAAAGTTGCACTCCTCCAATGCCAAATCATTCACTTGCAAAAAGCGACTTCATTTGGGCTAAAGCCTTCTAGTGCCCTTAACATGGCATTCATGCACAATTTTTGCCTTTTTATGCCAGACAGGATGGAAAAAAAAAAAGGGGCAATAATATTAACAGTTTTGTTGCAAAAATACCACTGCCATACCCTGAAAAAGGATTTAGTATAATAATTAATCTAACTCTAGGAGTCTACGCTTTCCCTCTGAAGAAGTTCCAAGTTAGTGCAGGTAAAAGCATCTGAAAGCTGTTGCTTAGGAACTTGAAATAGTATTAGGAAGATCCCTCTGAATACTGTCTGCACTGAAGGTACTAAGACCCCAGAAATCATGCCGTAATGAAGCCTGCAGAATCAGACAGGTACTCCAACCTGAAAGTGTCTAAAATAACTGATGTTGTGAATCAGGAGGGAGCTAATTGATTTCCTCCTTAATGGAACCATGGCGGCATGATTACGCTTACTGAGAATATTATTCAGTGTTGAGATCCCTATTATTATTTAAGGTATAAATACCCTTCACTAAACATAGAATGTGATTCCACATATCCTTTAGAAACAGTGAATATTTTTGTATTTCCGTGAAGAGGTATTTTTATCCCCAACTAAATAGCGAATGAAGGCCAATTCAAGCCACAAATGCTTTGTTGCCAATTAATTCTGCACATCTGATTTGAGAACTATGATGAGACTTTTCTTAAAGATATGGTTCCTCTTCCTCCCCCTCTCCCAACATAGTCACCACAGCCAAAATACACCACCACAGGCTGACTTTCAATTGCAAGTTATTAGCAGGAATCCTGGAATTGCAAACTGCAAACCAAGAAAAACACAGAGACTACCAATAAAACGCACCTCATGAGCAACTTAACTGTGATTTTGGCAATGAGCTGGACGAGTACTTTTATCTTGGTACAGGTTCTGTTAGCCTGGAATGCATGACAGATAGGGTGAGGAACTTAACTGTTTAGCAGGGAGGAGGAAAGACTCCAGTGGAAGATGACTTAGGAAAAGTGACTGTGAGCTACCCCAGTGAAGTCACCCAGTCCCCCTTCTCAAAAGAAAAACTATGCTTAAATTTATCACGCTGTTTGTCTTCAGTTGTTTTAATATCTAACTCAATGTCAGGGCCCTGAATCACACCAGTGGGCTTGGCAAACTCTTGCCTTGCCCTGCCCTGCCAACAGCTTCACCTGCCAGCATAAGATCCAATCTGATATAGCACAGTGTTGCAATTCTGGATGAGACTGCTGGGGAAAGAACTGGCAAGAGGCCCCATCTGGGGACTCCATTCTTTTGGTTGGGATCCACATGGGAGTTCACGTCCTTGCCTGAAGTGCACTGCAGCCATGCCTGTGCCTGGACATGTACCTCACTGATCCCATTCTTAACCCTAACCTATTGACTTGTACTTCTGCTTTGACCTCAGATCTGCCTCAGTGCTCTGGACTTGTCTGGTAATCACCAGACTCTCAGCCTGCCCCTGGTCCTAGTCTCCCACATAGCAAGTTAAGCCCAGTGTTTTCTGGTTTATCCATCAGAGAGAACAGATCATCTTTACACGGTGACTTTTTGGTATTTGAAGACTTAAGTCATCTTCCACTGGAGTCTTTCCTCCTCTCTGCTAAACAATTAAGTTCCTCACCCTGTGTCATGTATTCTATATCTGAGAAGTTCCTGTGAACTTTCATGTACCAAATTACTTATTATAAAAGTTAGCTCCGATTTATGATCACATTATAATCTGTAAGACTTCCCGCAGAACTGACATTTGACCATTCTACCCTTCTGATCTACCTGCCCTGCAGGTATTTCTGCCCTGCATTAACCCAGTCAAGTCTATCGTGATGGAACCTGGCACTGGCTCTTTTTCAGACCATTTCAAATTATAATCACGTACAACAATGTATTTGCAAGTCTTCCCCACTGAGACACAGTCTACAGACTAAAATACGCATACCCTGTGCAGTGTGCCTGTCATTAACGTGAATCTGGACTTTGGAAACTTATTCATCCCCATGCAGCTTTTAAAGTACAACAAAGTTGTGAGAACTTTCATAGCAGTAAATTCCAGCCAGTTTCACAACCATAATGGACATCATTAGCTTAACATTTTCAAGAAACCACCACGTAAGAAGGTCCTAAGTGTTACTGAACAAAAAAAAAGGGCACAAAATGAACTACAGCTTCTACCCTAATCACAATGCCTCTATCTCAACATGGAAAGAATGCATTTGTCACAATCACACATATCATTTCAAATTAAAATCAGCCCTCATTCCATGATTTTCTTCCAAGCTCATATGAGCGGTATGTTTGAAAACTCCAATTTATTCAAATCCTTACTAATATCTTCTGTAACTTCTGAGGCAGTGGCCCCACAGTCAGTGCCTTAACTGTTATGGTATAAAGCATGCACTGAAAGAAGGAAAGATTCAACAGAAACAAAGACCACATCCTAAGGCATCCATACAAGGAAACTAAGCTTAGGTCACGCAAATAATCTGTAATACACAAGTAGGTAAGTGGTCCACCAAAGAAATCTCTGCAATGCAAATGCTCTGAATTCTGCATTCTGAATTCTGATTCAGTATGTTCTGAAATTAGGGCCATCCCATTATTTATCTAGCATGTACCTAAAACAAATTTTAGTTTAATATCAAGACAAATGCTTCATCTATGAGAGAAACCAAATAAAAACAGATGTGATAGTTTGGGTCAGCTGAAGCTCTTTGTTCCAAAGTTTAAGATCTTTTTTAAAAGGAAAAATTCCCAAACTGTTGCACAGATTCAGTTCATAATAACCTGTTTTAATAGCATGATGGTACAGAGGAGAAGAAAGAAATTAAAAAAACAGAAGCTGATGCTAGATGGCATGTTCACACTGTCAAAAGTATCTGCTGAAGTGAGTATTCATTGGCAGAGAGTTCAAATACCACCAGTAGAATACAACATAACATGAACACATAATAATACTGTAATCGGGCACAACAGGAAGAACAGCTTTTTACAGACATTTTGTTAAACAGTATTGGGGTATTTCTTACTGTGAGTGTGCAAAGATTCTGATGAAATTGATTGGAAGAAGTTGTATACTCTCTGATTCTGCAGAAAAGCTTGCGATGTATTGGAAAATAGCTGCCTGAAATTTAAGGTGAGAGTTTGTTAAACTGCAAGTAATACACTATAAGAATACAAAAAAATTTACTACAGTACCGTCTGAGAGCCAAGTAGGCAGTTCTTAGGAAGTCTAAACACTCTGAATTACATGTTTAGCATAAATGATGTTAAATGCTACTTTTGAGCTTTGTTATTCAGTGCTAGTGCACGGTGGAAGTACAGCCAGTAGAAGAGCTTGGTATGACTGATCTTCTTTTCATTTAAAAGGCCATGTGCTTTTGAGCCATTTCAATTCAGTTGTTTTAGCTACCAGTAACACTTCATCAAAGAAGAGTTTGGGCTGAGTCTAAAAGCACTGGACCTTAAATTTGAACTTTTTTTTTAAATTGGTAACACATTATATTTCCCAAAACCATTAATCTCTTCCTTAAATACACTTACTTGGTTAAATACAAAGACGAATTTACCTATAATGTCAGTATTTGAGATTCATAATTATCTCCAAGAGCAAAGGGTGGGATTCTCAATATTGCTCTGCACTGGCCTGAGTCTGTTCCCAGAGTCAGTGCTCCCAGGTCATGACAAACTGTGTTAGCTTCAGATAAGAAAACAGGCCAAGAATGAATGGTTTTTACATGCCACACCAAGACTTCAGTTATTGCTTTCCAGGAAGCACTACCCAGTTCTGGGTATTCACACAGAATTTCAGTATAGCCAGAACATAACTTGCAAACTGTAATTCTAGTTCCATATTATAACATGGTTTGGTATGTTCAAAGGTTACCCTCAAACTGAATCTCCTGGGTTTGTAATTACTGTGCACTAAGGCTTTACAGCCTTTCTGTATTTCAACACATCCTTTTCAGTAAATCTCTATTAAACAAGTTTGTCCATTTAAGAACAGAATGTTTATTAGCCAAAACTGTTTGCACAGATTTAGTTTTTGGCTTAGACAACGAAGCCAATAAAGACAGACAAATAACATTACTGATCAAAACAAAAGAAAACTGAGAAGTGGAAGGTTGAGGCACACAGTGGTTCCATATCTCTTTTAACTAAGCTATTAAGATAAAGCCCAAAGGTCTGATATGCTTGGACTCACAGTAAATTCTGAGCAGGAGCTTGAAAAGCAGTACCTGTTACTTCAACAAAGACCCTAACTCAATAGATGCTGCCTAATCTGATGAATAATTTGTTCTGAGTAAGGTTCAACAGCCCTGGCAGAAAAAAACATACACAGACATTTGTAGTGAGAAAAGAACAGGGAGGCACACCCAAATTCAGATTGCTGTTCTGAGTTGCAGGGTTTGACCTACAAGTCCTACATGCAGCAGGTACTCTCATCACCATAGTAGGTTATGAGGTACAAGCTATTTTCTTACAGATGTGTGAGCTACATTTTATTTTATATACACACATCACTATTACTATTTATTCTTTTAAAATTCTGTTCTCTCACTCTATCCTGTCATAAAATTAGAACATACAGGCTCTGAGTTTTCGTAACTGAAATAATCCATTAAGCTTTAGTAAGAGTCCCAATTTAAAGACAAAAAGAAGAAAAAGAGTCAGGAATATGTATTTCATCACTGCCTTCCCATTTTCTTCACAAACTGTATTTAGGCAGCAGAATTGTCACTGTCCCTAAAAGTCGAGCTTGACTTCGATCACTTTTCTGGTGATACATTTCAGGTTATTTACTAAAATACTTACCTGATTATGGGCTCAAGATCAGCATGCCTTCGTTCTTCCCTCTTCTGAAACCCCTGATTTAGTGCTCTTAAAATAGTCTTGTCAAATGCTTCAGAAGATGGTTCCTTTGGGAGCTGAGAAAAAGGTTATTGTGAAAAATGAGTAGCTGGCATTTTAAATCTGTATTTGACCACCATCAGTTTTTATACCTTTTGGCATCAACAAAAAACTCTGTTGTTCCAGTTTGAGTAAGGTAATTTACAGACCAAAGGTACAACAAATCATCGTAATTTAGTTTTGCTAAAGAAACGCTTTGCCGTAAATCCTCACATCAAACCCAGCTGTTAAGATGGCTTAAAGCTCTATTTGAAAGAGCTACATTCAGAAATATACCCAAAATGTCTTTTTCCAGAGTAATTTACTGCCTGTTTTTGATATATTTCATTGAATCTTTCACACACAGAAAGTCTGAAAATAACATTCAAAATTACCACAGAGGACCAAATGCATTGTACTCACGATCATTACTTAGCTAGATTAAATTATTTTAAAGAAACAGGAGTAGAAAGGAAACTTTTCCAGTTCTGTAATACACTAGACTTCAGTGGGCAACACAGAAATTAATCAATAGCAAGTCCTTCTCCAGTTGCTATTAATACTGAAGCTTCTTACAAAAATTCATTGTTCCCAATGCACTATTACAAAGTGAGATCTTCCAATGTTCTAGTTCAGAAGGCAAACTTCTTGCTACGAAAAAGCATGTTTCTATTTCAAATGAAAAATATTCCGTACAACAAAAAATTTTCATATTTACAACTTCCAAAATAATGCCCTTAAGTACAATAAAGATGATCAAATACATTAGCACATATATATGTAAGTCTTCAAATTTGGGGGCAATTAAAAGTAAACTGTCATAGCAAAAATGCTTTTTCCTGAAGTTAAAAGCTATTGCTAGTCTGGTTAACATCTGCCATCAGTTATGATCAACAGCACGAAGTGATTTACACTGGAGCAGCATGTTCCTCTTGCATATCTGGAATACACCCAACCCAGAGTGCCAGCTGGATATTACATCCTGCAAGTGGTACAACAGCAAAGCACAAAGTAATTCTTTCACTGAATGAAGTGCTACTATGTCTAATGTAGATAATTGCTTGGTAACATACATAAAAGGAACTTCTGGAATGCAGACAGACAGGTGCTGTTAGTGTTAGATCAGCACAGCGCTATAGCACCTGAAGTATATTAGATATAAAACTAGAGAGAAGTGCTGAAAGCAGCTATTCTTAACTGGCTCCTTTGGCTTTAGTAAGCTTTAATTGAGGAACTCTGACTGAAGAATTAATCAGTATTAACCAAAAGGTACCAAAAAGCTCCTGCAGAAATGTGGGAATAAGCAAGCTTCCTGTCCTGGTGTTCTATATTTAAACTCGTCTCCAGAAACAGTCACAATTTTTATGCTTTAGAACTTTCATTAAAAAGAATTCAATTCCTTCTGTAGTTAAAGATTTAGTTATAAAAACCCAAGATTAGGTGCTTAACTTAACTTCAGGTAATGAGATAGCCTTGTTACTGACAAGCTTATTAGTCCCTTCACGTGTGGATAATGGCTTTCATGCAAAGAACTTTTTATATTTATCACCTCAGAGAAGGTGTTCTTTAGATATGAAGCATCCAAGTTATCCAATTTATTACTCTAGTTTTTCTCCCTGATGCTTCTATACTGAAGCAATTTTTACAGTTACATTACTCCTATCACCTGCAACATTGGAATTTCCTATCAAGTATTTTGATCATTCTTTTCTGTCCCTAGAAAACTGTGCATAGTAATTTATTTAACAGTAAATAAATTTATTTAACAATTCTCTCTATCTTCTCTACTTATGGCTATCAAGCCAACACAAACCAAGTAAATTTTCCAGCTGTGCACATTCTCCACAGAACACCTCAGCGAGCTCATTGCAGCCTGTGGCCATCCTCCTCTTGTCCTGCCATCTTCTCTGCTGGAGCAGTCAAGCCAGCACATGGAACACTTCACATGTGAAAAACTGACATTGGTCAAACTGGACAGCTCTGCAATATTTTGTATCCTGTCTGTTTTCCTGGCTCCCCTTCCTCCCAGCAGCAAGGAGGTACTAGAGAGTCCATTTCAGAAACTGGTGTTCCTCTTTACTTTATATGTAGGAGAACCAGAAGCACGCAGTTCAACACTCCTCTCAGAGCTGCATGGGATCCCGTATGACAGTCCCGCTTTTAAGGTTCCCTTCAGGAGCAGATGCAGGTATTCTGTGTTGTGGGACACCCCATCTGCAACCTGACATGCCATCCATAATTCAAATCCTTACAATTCAAGCTCTGGAATCTCTTCAAACTAGATATTTCAGGTAGATTAAAGCAGTAGTGAATGCTCACTGCTTCACTTCTACAACACTGGAAAATATAATGTTGGCAACTGAAAAAGGGAACAAGCCAATGACCTTTGTACAGTAAATGGCTTTCCACTTGCAATTAACACTGCAGTTAAGAACACCAGATGCTATCAAAACATGCCCAAACCAGATCTTTCATTAGTGCTCTGAGCAGTGAGGATTTTAAATACAGAATTTTCCAGAATAGGTGGAACTGAAAATATTAGACACTGGCAATGAAACACGCAGTTTGAGGTCATCACACTAACGAGGCCTACATGTGGCCTATGCACATAAATACATTCCCTGTTTGAGATGAGGGGAGAGAAACTTGAACTTTTACCTTTTTTTTTTCCCCAACGCACATAAAGGCACAAGTAGGTGCCACGTCTGCCTCAAATTTAACTCCTTGCGACAGTGAATATGTCTGCCTTTGTTCTACTGAAGAATACAACAGTAAAATTAAGAACTATTATGCTTATGGCTCTGCCTCATTAATTCAAAACAACTAAATGGTACTCTTTGAGATCATTCTAACAGGGACACCAATAAGTAAACAAGCAGTGCTTGTACTCATACATTAACTCTGCAGGGAATATTAAAAAGTCATCTGGTAGTTTTATGGTAGTTCAATTAAAACTACATGAGCAATTTCAGATGAGACAAACTATCTCTTCTTGGGAAACTCCCCAAATACTCTGCTGAGTTTCTTCATCTGTCAAGGGATTTAAATAGTTAATACAATTGTGAAGTACAAAAATCTGGTAACATGCCTTTGTTTCTGTAATTATATCCTAAATATCACAGCTCTTCTTAGACTACTTCTGAAGTTATAAACCTGATGTGCAGACATTACTTTTATATTTCAACACATACTTTTAGCAGGAATTCCTGAAGCTCCTGATGTGTTTTTGTTACACACGTTACCGACAGATCAGACCAGGTTACCTAGTAAGAAAGGAAAAGACAATGAAGGAACTTTCTTTTTCCAAATACCATACCAGCTAGATCTTAACATTTCCATAAATCTGATGATCTCAGTATAAGAGTTAACACCTGCAGGTTAAGTAGATACCAAACAAACCAGGGATAATTATGTGCTTTTTCAAAGACATATACTAATTTTGAGGGTACCTTTTAAAGACCACCTTCATGTTATTTGTGGCTAAAGGGAATATGAACAAATTCAGAAGAATGCAACGAATTCCCTGAAGACTACTGACTTTGTGAGTCAGAATGAAGCCAGGCAGAAGGCTCTGTAATTACGGGACTTGTATCATCAGACATCATTAACTGCAAAAACCAGGCACTTGCAGGTCAGATATACTGTATTGTGCTCTTGCTGCCATTATCAGGAGTAAAAAGAAAAAAGAGGAAAAAAAATCTCAGTTTCTGTTGCTTATAAAATAATTCTATCTGTCTCAGGCTTGAATCTTATGTGGTCATACGGAAGTTGTTGTAAGGCACAATTAAGTATTGCAAGTTACTGAAGAAGTTATTCAGGAATCAGACAGCATTTTGGTATATGCTTGTATAAAATTTCAGTAGCTTATTGTTCTGACACAACATGCAAGTAGTGAACCAGCACCTTCACATGCATATTTTGAGAGAAAAATAAGTAAGCTTGGTTAGATGGGTGCTATCTGGCTTTAAGCCCACTTTTAGGCTTAAGATTCCCATTACATGGATGGGAAGATTCTGTGTAATGGGAGTGGGTATGGCAATTATAAACATTAATTTACTCCCAAGACTTGACAGAATAATGTCAGCCACCAACTGCCTTCAACTTAGTCCTCAGAAATGCCAACTGCTCCTGGTGCCCTAGGTTGGAAAGCCATGACTGTAATTGCTGTTATAACTTTAAAAAGTGGTGTCTGGGTAAGCACAAAATTATCTGCAGTGAGTAGCATGGTATATATCTGCACAGATGAGGAGAGGAAACTCTTTCCTCAAAGAGCTGAGGTGGAGGAGTTTCAAGTTTACTCAAATACTTCCCAGAATATCTCCACATTCTCCCTTTAATAAAGAAATTCAAAACCACTGTCAAATCTGTGTATGTGCTGAATTTCCAAAACTGTTTCGTAACTTTAAATGTTAAGAATGCATATGAGCATTCTGTACAAACCTCTCCTACCTGCTGTTGTATTTTACCTAGTTCTCAGCTCACAGACTATTGGGACATGGTTGAAATACTTGGGCAAGTTAACCTTTAAGCCTTTGGCAGCTACATATTCCACATTATTGTCCTCAGCAAAAGTAAAGTGCAGAAGTTTTTGCAAATTTCACCTTCAGGCACTATCAACAACAAAGTGTCTGTTGCCACTACTTCAAAATCAGAAATAGTATACATGTCAATTTAACACTACTTTTAACCTTCTAGTAATACCAGAAAAGACAAAACTTTACCTCCACTTAGACAAAACACTAGCAAACTTTGGGATCAATACATCAGTTTTCTGCTCAAAATGGCTTTCTTTTTTCTTTTTTTTTTTTTAAGTTTGCCTCTTCAAAGAGCTCCCACGACCCATGTCAAATGACCAGTTATAATGTTTAATCTTAAACATTCTTTTTTCTGAGGGAAAAAGGGTAGAATTTAACTCTCTGCTCAAATCTGGTACACTACCACACTCACATGTACAGGCCAAATGACTCATAATGTTAGTCAGTCCTCGCTAAGAAAATTACTACTTTGATTCAATTACAACATCACCACCAAGGGCCTTAGCAGCTATTATTTAACACCTACAGCCTTTAATACCAGACCTCAATACTGAAATCTTACTACTTCCCAAGTAGTAAGAAGCAGTGTTTCAGTTTTAAAATTCACTCACATAATTGCTTTGGATGTTGTCTCCGGCTATTACAACACATGAAGACTATACTAGGTAAGCCTTCAAGTTTGTTGACATTTTTTTAGCTTGTTTGTTTTCACCTTAACAAACTAACCAACCCCCGGTTTTGTAAAAAAACACAGGAGCCATCCTCTTATGGTAAACATTCATGAGGAAGATCTAGAGCTGACCATATGACTCCAAGCAATATATAGCTGCAGACACAAGAATTCATTCCTATGCCACCTGAGCAAACAATTAGCTGGTTTTAGAATTCTTTGTAATTATTGGATAATTCTAAGAATCCTGGAGACTGACTTAAACCAAAACTGCTTCTAAGCAGGTATTTGGAACAAGCTGTATATATCTACAATACACAGATATCACTAACACAATTACTTCAATATTCTGGATGTTAGTTGCTTACTTTAAATGTGTACTCCAAATGTTTGTCAGCCCTTTTCCTTGGTACTCCTTTCAGGGTTATCTTCTCAATGTGTACAGCTGAAAGAAAAACACCTTATTGTACATGCAAAAAGTACAGTTTAAAAATGTATCTACTTCCCTAGCTGCTATTGAGAATCACTAGTGCTATTTACTGACTCACACAACCCCACTCTTTCTCAGATGCTATTTTTCTGTAACAAACTGCAGGGGGCAGGTGCAGTCTTGCTCTCTATAAAGTATTTTTGTGGCCTGACTAAAAACCCTCACTGCAGATAACGGAAATCTGTATGTTACCTAAGAACTTACTTAGCCAAAAGGTCACATAAATACAAGAATGTAACCACTATAAGTGAAACGATGATAAAAGAAAGTAAAAAACCACTGATAAAAGCTTCCACATCCACATATCTGAAATATTAAGTAGTAATGAGAGCAAACTGAGGCAGAAGAGCCACATTTCTGAAAGGCACTGGGGTGGAAGGAAATGCTTGGGAAAGGCCTGAAGGAAACAGAAACGAGAGTTAGCAACCAGAATACAAAGAGGAGAAGCAGAAGGCTACTATAGTTATACTGCAAAGCATATCATTAAATTGAATTGAAAAGGAAGAAAGGTACTTTAACGTACTTGCTACTTTAACATTTCCTGCCCATAAGTCTACCTTATTCAGGAATAGGCAAGTTCTAGCTGTGACCTGGTATGCAGCAGCACCCTAAGGCTTTCAGGGCCTGGAGATTTCCTTGAGGGCACGTAACATTGTTCAGGTAATACTCCACAAAAAAATTCTGATGTAGCCGAGATGGGCTTTTCCCTTTTCCTGCTACGCTGGCCTAAGAATTCAGCACAATTTTACTCCTTTACAAGCACATCTTTACATGTAAAAAAATACTTATTTAAACGATGGTTTGACCAGCCCTACACCATCAATGCTTCCTTTCCATGCTTTTGAAACTACTTCTTTTTTGGGGGGAGGGTGGGAGGACAATGCTGCTGGCCAGCTAATGTTTTCCTTTCAATTTTTAACTGTATAAACATACATGGAAGCTACTCAGAACAACAATAATAAAAAATTAAAAATCAACCTCCTAAAAGTACATGTTACAAAGTTTATTATTGGAGATTATCTGATTATCATATCATCTAATTTAAACATTTTCAACCATTTTTTTTTGAAGTTACAATTGAAGTATCACCCCCCTAAAATATGCCATTTCTAAGAGAAGCAAGTATTGGCAATTTCCTGAAACGAACAATAAGCCAGTGTATAAACCTAATAATATTGTTACAGCTTCCAGTTCTTTCAGTAGAAAGATGGACAAATATTGAGCATGCTGGTGTGCACTGGTTGTGACCCTCTAACTGGGAGTCAGAGCACTAGAAGATCAGTTCATTTTTATCAGCTAATGAAGATTACTATGATTCGATGCTGAATTATTACAAAGCAGACATCCAAGATCAGCTAAGAATGCAAGACAGTAACATACACCAATATACCATGAAAAGCTGAATGATTAGTGATCTTAATTTTTACCTGCCTGGTAAAGCAGTGTTAGAAAAGGACTATGGCATGAGTTGTGGTAAAGTTTCTTATTGGCCAATGTTAAAATTAATACCATCAACTCAGTTGATATTTGTAAGTTAATTAAAAAGTTGATTCCCATGGCTGGAAGTGAGAATAGTGGTTTAAGTTGTGTTTCACTACATGTATACATTTAACATACATAATTATGGAAACTAGCACTGTCAACATTCAAAGACAAACTTCTTTTCTAATGAGTATGTGTTTATTTTAAACTATTCAATGTTTTCAAGGCTAAATGTATTTCTTCTCAAGTATAAATAAATTTTATTACACATGGTAGTACCTTCAGCTTCCTTAACTTCTTTTTGTTGCTGCTGCATGTTTCGTCATAGTGATACAAGAGGTAATTACAGTGTTGTTGCTGCACAGTTCCAACAGGCAGCTTTAAAATTGTTTCCATAATCACATTTTAAATATTCTGAATGGCTACAATGAGAAGAAATGTTTGAGTATACAAGCCAGTGAGGCATGTTATACCTCTACATCTATTTTGGACACAACACATGCATTCAGGAAGATTAAGTCAAGCATGCATGCATGACACTGTTTTCACTGTAAGTATAAGTCAATATTTCTAAAAATCATATTCATGATAGCTGGAAATAAAACCCCTATTTTATTATCAGTGCTATTTCTAACCCAGTGAAGGAGATTTCTGTAGCAGGTACTCTCCATCACACGCATGTATATCGAATACCACAAAATTATTGTGATACTTCACTGTAGTTTCTAACTATGATAATGCAAAAGCCGAGAAATATTTCACCTCTTTGCTAGATTCAATAATTCAACTTTTCTGTCCTTCCCTTACTTAATTCAAGAGCACTGCTAAAGAAAGTTTCTGATTTGTGAGTACGAACACTCTGAACTCTCTAAAAGGATTTGAAACAGGTTTGGTTTATGCCATAGGCCACAATCTCCTTCTGCATTATTTTTTGGCTTGTTTTTTTATTTTGCGGGATTTGGGGGGTTTGGGTTTCCCCCCCCCCCCCCAGGAATTAAAACTCAAATTGCCTGGCTTCAAAGTGTAACTAAACCTCCACAGTACAGACAAAGAACATGTATGAAGAAAAAAGGAACAGCAATAGCTTGCCTGGGTTGCCAGCTCTTCACTATCTGTAGGATAGCATAGACTAATTTTGAGAAGTGATTTGCTAATCTTGTTGGAGAATAAAGGGAAATAATAAACCTGTTTTCAATAATGCTTATTTCTTCAAAGAGAAGAAACTGTGCTGGCAATTGCACAGAAGAGTTCTGTTTATTCTCTGAAAGACAATTGACTTCTATGGAAAGCTTCTCACTTCTCCAAACTACCACTACTACAAAATCTCCCAATGTGTGGGTTTTTTTATTTTTGAGGGGCTTTAATACTAATCGAATAGAACTGAATCAAGTGGCAAAAGCTTTCCACTATTTCACAGTATCTTCATGTTAAGTTTTGGTTTAAAAAAAAAACACAGTTAATAAAATTGTATTAAAATTTTCTTGGTTTCTCGCAAATCCCACTTCTTTTTTTCAGGAGGAAGCCCATCTGCAATCAATTTTCATGCATGCAGTCACTAGTGGTTAGCAGCAAACAAGAATGACAACTTATTATAATAAAGAAAAGACCAAGTAGGCAGCAGAGCAGCTATTATACTTCCCAATCATTGCAGTTTCTCATTCAAATGAACAGCAAGACAGATGCAAGATTTCTACAACTACCAGGACAGTTTAACATTAAAGAACCCTTTCGAAAGAAATCTCAAATATACCTTCTCGCTGAGGTCTATGGGAAGCCATTGGCAGTCCATCGTGAGGTGCCGTGGTTCGTTCTAGCAAACTGGTCTCATTACTTGACATGCACTCACTATGCGAAAAGTCATTCTAAATTAAGAAGGGGAAAAAAAAAAGTCTTATTAGGAGTGTATTATCAAAGGGTGCACTAAACAGTAGAAATTACAAAAAAAATTGGTTCCTTATTTGGTATCCTACAGGAGAAAAAACTGAAGTTCTGTACAGTGGCAAAGAGGTGGTCATTAGCCATTTCACTTCTTACTTTTTAAATTTATTTATTAAATATCAGTTACAACCTCCAGTGTTTCACTGACCTTATTTTAAAAACAGAACAGAGTGAAGAACAAATCATGTGCCTTTAGGGTTTCTCAAGCTGGACAATACCATCAGCTCAGAACTTCATTACTAATTTACAGTTAGCATGACCTCTGTTAATTACTAACCTGTGAAGTCACCTACTTGCTTACACTCTAAACATACTCTCCTCGATTATATTCATGCACCATATCTTCAGCCTGACACCTTTAATATCTAGGAAAACAGGACATACGTCCCTAACAGCTAAATCCATACATTACCTTACTAACTAAACATTCGGAATGCAACCAGTTGCCATCAACACCCGCTCTTCCATAGGGAAAAGGACAGACTGAAAACTCATCTCCCCCGACTTTTGTATGCAGACTTCAAAATCATATGCCAAGAAGTATTACTGTTTCAAGACAGTGCATAAGGAGGGACAGAACAAGAAAACACGTGCAGCAGATGAAAAAAAAGAATAAACTAGGCTAACAATGACAAATTGGAGAAAAGTATTAGATGAGCATGGGCTTCAAGCGTCTTTTCTAGAGTAACAAAAGTCTGTATGATTTTCCCCAACTTAAGATAAAAAGGTATCAATTTACATGTTCTTCAATGATCAGGTCTTGTTAAAAAACAAACTGACCAATCAAGCTAAAATTCAAAAATGTTTTAAAATGTCCAATGCAACCATGTTTTGGGTTTGCCAGCTGATCAGTGTAATTCACATTTCAAGAAAATTACAGATTGCCTTTAAAGATGCATCCACAGAGAACTAGGGAACACTGGAAGTTACTAGTGAATCTATTTTAAGTGAAGCACCTCTATTTATCTGTAACAAGGACCATAACATCTGAGCTTAGCAAGTACCTAAATGCTATCAATATGTAAATACCGTACCAATGATAGCAGCAGTGGCAGCAACACAGAGGGGGAGAGAAGGTGGTTTTCTGTTTAACACCACAAATGCTGGGTTTTATTAAGCACTGGAAGCTAAAACAGAGGTAGATTTCTTAGGAAAGCTTTCAAAAGAAGCAAGTTAAACAGAGGACATTTAATGCACCACAAATATTTAGCAACTGGTCTGCATGAAAACTAGAAGGTCAATAAATATCTATCTTATTATTAGCTCTATATAACAAATAAAATATTAATACTTTTTGGAGTAGATGTGTACTGAAAGTTCAAAGTCTGTTCCTCTCATTCATGACTCTGCTGAAAGACATTCACCAAAGATGGATAGAGGAAAAATACAAATCTTGAAAGAGTTCTCTCATTTTTAAATACAGGAAGCTTAAGATTTTGGAAATAAGTCCAAGAATACATGTGTGTTTTTTTTTTTTCTAAAGGGCTTGTGCAACATAATGAGACAAACCAGCAGCCAAGACTAGTTAACGTTGTTTGGTACAGAAGTCCCTAAGACTGTCACATGAGGCACGCTAGAATAAGGAAGCACAAAGGTGTCAAAAGACTTTGGAATCCCCTTGCAGTTTGAGAATTCTTCATTGAACTTCTTCGGATTTGACACATGTACCAGCTAAAGCTGGCTTCATCTTAGTAAACCAGCTTTTTATCATCCATAGTGACATACTTTAGTGGTGGTCTTGGCAGTCCAGAGGTAAGGGTTGGACTTAATGATCTTAAAGGTCTTTTCCAACCTAGTTGATTTTATGATTCTATAGTGTTGGTACAATTGTGGCAACTCCTAACAATACATGCAACTCATTTAGGACCCAATAAGTACACAGGCATAAAGTCTGCCCTTGGCATCCCGTTAATTTCATCAGTCACATCAACAGCAGTACACATCTAGCAAGTGAACATCTATATGCCTTTAGATCACGCTGCAGTGGGCTGAGGAACTGAATGACATTTTAGCTGTTTCATCTAAATCAGTGTATGGCTTGTATCCTACCTGTCAGTATCTTCAGGTTTCAAAGCAATCATATTTAAAATACAGAGAACGCTTTATTTCCTCAAGATAAAACACCAGTCCCTAGACACTCAGTAAACAATTTCAGCAAACTTACAAAAACCAGTATTTCATGCTTCAAACATCTCATAAATTATGAGCACAATGTTAGACACGGAATAAAAAGGGAACATAGCTGTGTATCAGTGAGACTGCATTTTAACAGCTTTAGCACACTTCCAAGTTTAGGTTAATAAACAAAATAAAAATACCCACAAGCATGCTCTGGAGAGCACTTTCAGATCTCCTCAGAACTCCTACTGATACTGCTGTGTCAGACGTTTCACAGTAACTGTGGACATAACCAAACCCAAGCACTTCACTTTTCAAGTGTTAACTCTTGGTCATGCATTATTCACAAAACTGTTGGCATTTAAGCATTAAAAGTACCCTGTTAACACTGTGACTCATTTAAGACTGTGATAAAAAGCATTACTACTATGATTAACTGGCTGTGCCCAAACTACATAAGCTAACAAGTTTAGCATGTATTTCGGTATGAGTGAATGTCTTCCTGATGTGAAATCAAACAACCAAACCAAGATTTCTAGCAAAGATCAATTCCAATTCTTTAGCAGAGGTAAGGTCTTCCTTATAAACTACAGACACACACTCTGTCAAAAGCACTTGTGTATCTTTCTTTCACAGTGCATGCAGAAGACAACAGACATTTAGATTAACTCTGACAGAGGCTCTCAAACTATTCAATTTCTTTTACGTTTCTAAGATGCCTCTGAAATCATCAGCGTAAGAGCTGAAGGCAATGCTTCATTCATTTTAAGGAACAAGCTGAGACTTCCACCTAATCAAATACACTTTTTTTAAATGAACAAATGGATCTAAACCCAATAGAATGTCAAGTCAGACCTCCTTCTGCATTCAGTCAGGCTATTTGTTTTGATTAATAGAAAAATAAATTACACTCTATTCTAATAAATAACTGCTAGTTAAGTCAAAGAAACTGTAAGCAATTTTTAGAAGAAAGGTGTGGGAATGAGACTTACTTCAAAGAGGTACTGTGCTCAGCTCATGTCAGAGCAGCATTAAATATTTCTCTAAACCTCCTAATACCAGAAAACTGCTTCTCACCTAGCATATATATCATCTTTGTAACAGTGTCCAATATTTTTGCAGACAATTACTCTAGAATGGTACTTTTGGCAGCATTCTATACCAGGTGAAATACACCAACATTTGAAGGCTCCCTCTAGATTGCAAAATATTGCAAGGTTCAGACCTGTATTTAAAAAAGTCCTGATATCAACGATTTTATAAATCATTATATCTTAAAGAAGGTCAGAATTTACTCACTTGAAAAATGCTTTGCCTAGAAGGTTAAACCTGTAAGATGTACTGTGTGCACTCTGTGAATGACAGCTTTCACAATGCCAACTGAACACAGGAGGAGTCAGTGCCGTAATCCAGGGCAGTCATTGCTTTACCTTACAGCCTGCAAGGGCTGCTTCTGTGCCAGCTCCAGATCCTATCTTAAGCTGCATTACAACTCTTCACATTTGGTGTTAGCTACTGTGACAGTGCTACATCAAACACTCCCAAGTAACAAAAATACAAGTGGCATTGTCAAAGCACACAACTTCAGCACACAAGTGACTGGAAAGTCTAGGCAGCCCGGAGGGCCAATGAATATTAGGAATGACACAGCAGGTTGCTACCTGCGCCAGTCACAGTACAAACACAAGTCCTTTAAAACTGGGGATGGTGACAAGGAGCTCCTGTTGAAAGTCATGCTGTATAGAGCTAATAGTGCTAATCATTTCTTGTCAATGTATAAAATGCATTCACACGACACATGCAAGTGTAAAGTTAACTCTTGCATAAGCTTTTGCCGCTGTAAAGCTTTCACATACAAAGATTCACTGCAGCTCACAGCGCTGCTTCTAAAGATTAAAATACAGTGAAGCAAGAAACGTGGGTGGCCCCAAAGCAGTTGCCAGATAATTAGATAATCACATAGATCTTTGTGACAGGCTAGAGGATTAACTATGTTTGTCCTTGAAAGTGAAACAAGCCAAGAGAGCACTCTAAAAATTGTCTGCTCTCACAGCCTAGACAAGAGTTTTGTATCCAAGACTTCTTTTCTCATATGGTTGACAGTAACTGCCATATTTTAAAAAACACGTATCACTTGAGATGTTTCCTGGGACTGTATCATAGCCTGGTTTGGGTGGGAAGGGACCTTAAAGATCCTCTAGTTCCAAAAACCTGCCATGGGCAGGGACACCTTCCATGAGATGAGGTTGCTCCAAACCCCATCCAACCTGGCCTTGAACACTTCCAGGGATGGGGCAGCCACAATTTAGCTGGGCAACCTGTGCCAGGGCCTCGCCACTGACTTAGTGAAGAATTTCTTCTTTATATTTCATCTACATCTACCTTTTGTCAGTCTAAAGCCATTTCCTCTTGTCCTATCACTACATTACCCTGTAAAAATTCCTTCTCCACCATTCTTGTAGGTCCCTTCCAGGTAATGGAAGGTTGCTATAAGGTGTCCCTAGAGCCTTTTCTTCTCACTGTGGGACAGTGTAAAATGCTTTGCACGAGTACAGGTAGATGGCGTCTACTGCTCTTCCCTATCCACTAACACTGTAACTCCACTGTAGGCCACAAAGGCCAAATCTGTCAGGTACAATCTGCCGTTACTGAAGCCATTCTGGCTGTCCACAATCACCTCATTTTCCACATGCTTTAGCATAGTTTTCAGGAGGATCTGCTCCATGACTTTGCCAGGCAGCAAAGTGAGACTGACCAGCCTATAGCTCCCCAGGTTTTTTTGGGGGGTTTCCCTTTTTAAAAAACG